AATGTGTTGTAAAGCAGCTTGTGGTTGTATATTTACTAACTGAATTATGGGAATTATGAATTAACAGTTTCTGCCTTCAGTATTATTATTTTGAGAATATTGGTTAAACAATAATTATTGCTAATGCATTTATACGATTCAGATCAAGTCACAAGGAATAATATACAAGATACAGTGAGCTTGGAATGTTTGGTTTGACGTGTTGTATGTGGTAATGCAATTATCAAAGGGAAGCGCCAAGTTATTATGACTATATAGCACTTGGAAGGGGTCAGGACAAGGATTTGGGATGGGACGGTGGGAAAGGAATGGTTCCCCAACCACTTGTGGACGGTCGGGGATTGAACGCCGACCTGCATGAAGCTAGACCGTCGCTCTGCCGTCCAGCCCAAGTGGTAAGGGAAGGGAACTATCAGGGGGGAAAGCGCCAAGCCATTACGACTATATAGCACTTGGAAGGGGTCAGGATAAGGATTTGGGATGGGACGGTGGGAAAGGAATGGCGCCCAAGTGGTTGGGGCACCATTCCCGCCCAAGTGGTTGGGGCACCATTCCCGCCCAAGTGGTTGGGGCACCATTCCCGCCCAAGTGGTTGGGGCACCATTCCCGCCCAAGTGGTTGGGGCACCATTCCCGCCCAAGTGGTTGGGGCACCATTCCCGCCCAAGTGGTTGGGGCACCATTCCCGCCCAAGTGGTTGGGGCACCATTCCCGCCCAAGTGGTTGGGGCACCATTCCCGCCCAAGTGGTTGGGGCACCATTCCCGCCCAAGTGGTAAGTGTGAGAGGTTGTGGAGTAAAGGGAAGACGGGTTGGTGCTCACGTTGTTGTTGTTGTAGTAAGCGCGGCTGTCCTCGGACTTGAACTTGGTGATGGTGCCGCGGTTCATGGTCTTGCGGCCCTTCTTGCCTCGTCTGCCGCCCCTCTTGGCCTCGGAGACGCCCGCGCTCACCACCAGCACCACCACCACCACCGCCCACAACCACTGCGTCCTCATGCTGGCTGGCCCCTCGCTCCTCCACCGATCACCTCGGGGCCATAGACCTGCCGGCAACACACACAATAAGCCACACAATAAACTCCATTCTCCTAGCTACCACTTACCCCTGGCGCCCTCAGCCGCCATACGCCTCTGCTGCTTCGCCTTGACCAGGTTGACCATTTGACTGAAAAAAAGGTTGACCAGACCACACACTAGAAAGTGAAGGGACGACGACGTTTCGGTCCTTTTTCGTTGTTCTTACCTACGTTTCGACGACGGTATGGTCCTGGACCATTCTCAAGTCGATTGTGAATGGTTAATCGACTTGAGAATGGTTCAGGACGGACCGAAACGTCGTCGTCCCTTCACTTTCTAGTGCGTGGTTTGGTCAACATGTCTAACGTCAGTGTGGTAGACGCTTCCCGCTCCTCTCTTGGCTAAGAAAATAAAACAGGTAGGGCCCAGGATTCATCAAGTATTTTATGCAAGTACTTACGAACTCGGTTCATCTGTTGTTAGTAACGGTGGCGCTGTATGCGTATATTTAAAACAGTTTACCAACTTCAAATCTCCGGAACTGAAGGTTATTGCTGCTATGAACTACCTCGTAGTGCCTCGGAGGCTCTTAAAGCTGTAATAAAGACGAACATTGCCACCATGAGTGTGGGAAGGTTACGGGTTTGGTGAGCAGCTGGTGGGTTGCTGAATGTTGGCCCTCCTCATGTGTGTGTGTGAGAGGTGACGTCAGTGAACATTGTACAGGATTGTATTCCTGCCGCTTCTTGAGATTCTTGAGGTTATCTTGAGATGATTTCGGGGCTTTAGTGTCCCCGCGGCCCGGTCCTCGACCAGGCCTCCACCCCCAGGGAGCAGCCCGTGACAGCTGACTAACACCCAGGTACCTATTTTACTGCTAGGTAACAGGGGCATTGGGTGAAAGAAACTCTGCCCATTGTTTCTCGCCGGCGCCTGGGATCGAACCCAGGACCACAGGATCACAAGCCCAGCGTGCTGTCCGCTCGGCCGACAGGCTCGCTGCTTGAGACGCACTCTCTCTCCTCTCCCAGCAACACTTATAGACATTGTCGCAGATTCTGCTGACACAAGGAAGATGCCAGCAGAATCTTCCTTCTAAGGAAGACGTCGTGCATAGAAGTAGCGTGTTTGGAGCTCGTGAATTCAGTTGTGGTATTGGAAGGAGAAAAATCCCTCTCAAAGATGAGGCGAATCCTGTAGTCTTCGAATAGTTCTCGGTAGGGATTCTGTACCATTCCTTCGTGTTGGTCTTCGCCTCCTTCAGATCAACCTGCGTGAGATGTCCTTCAAACCCATACGTCTCCCAGCACTAACTTGGGCCCCCTTGGCTCAGACGCCACGGGTCACCATTGAGGGGGAGCGGGTACCCCGCCACGCCTCATAGGGAGGGAACACATCTAAACGTTTCCGCCCCAAACGTATAGTTAAAATTAACTTTCGGTTTCATCCAATTACTGAACTTCTTAGTGATAATCGAGACTTGAAATCGAGATAATTTGGTGTGGTCGGATAGAGAATAAACCTACTTTTTTAATACATAAATGAAAGATACTTTTGGTAGAGAAAAGGTTTTCTAGACATGACATTCTTCTCTTATCAAGAAGAATGTCATGTCTACTGTGAAGGATTTTTTTGTGGGTCTTCATAGAATAGTTACAACACTAGACTGCCGGGGGCATGGAGACCCTGACTGACTTGAGTTCGAATCCTTCAGGGGTCAAGAGTTTTGCGATATATATTGGCTTGGGAACCTTTTAGGCTTTACGCATACTTGATGCTCATGCGGCCCCAGCATGTTGAAGATATTTGGTGACATATGTTGTTAATAAGGCCACGAGTGTTGCCGGGTGTTGGGTGCATGTAGCTCTCACCACTTCGCAAGACCTTCAGACAGTCGCTGGCTGAGTGGTTACACCACCTGACTACCGGGGACATGGAGACCCGTGGGTGGTTCGACCCTCTGTACCGTGATACTTTAAGTTAGGGCGGAGCTCCCGGTCTGGCCGGCTGTTGGGGACATAGTCTGAAATAACAATAAATGAATAAAATAATCCTGGTATATGGTACTTAAATGATTGGTTACTTAAGTAGTACTGAAGAATGGCTACTTAACACCAGGACATGATACTGAAATTAAAGTCAAAAGTGTTTAAATGCTGAACAGTGATGCTGAAATGACACACAAAAACAAATAATGCATTAAACTAAATAACAAACTTGATACAGAGATAAGACAGGAACACTTTGCTTCTTTAAGAGCGGAAGTTGTGTACCTCACGACACTGTCTTAAACACCTACTTCCTCACCATAATACCAGACGCAGAACACAGTGTTTCTTGAATAACTTAAGGCTGATGGGTATGACGGGCAGCAGAGGGTGAGGGGGAGGTAGTGAGAGCATCCAGGCACCCGTCACCCATTCCGGATGAGAATGGGTGAGGTGTGCTGGGGTGGTGCTGGGAGGGGAGAAGGGAGAGGTAGTGAGAGGAAGTAGTTGATCAAAGTCAGTGTGACCAAGCTGGGAGAGGTATAGGGTGAGAGCTAGCATGATGTAGAGAAAGACAGGTGAGTGGGAGGAAGAGGTGGTGAAGGGAGTGAGAGGAAACTGGAGGAACAAGGTAGGAGTGTGTTGAGCCGGGCGGGGCCACACCCACCCTCACTCCCTGGGTGGAGCTTGGCAGGTGTGGAGTGTGGTGAGGGTGTGGTCCCCCCCCCTATCTCTCTCTCTCTCTCTCTCTCTCTCTCTCTCTCTCTCTCTCTCTCTCTCTCTCTCTCTCTCTCTCTCTCTGTCTCTGTCTCTGTCTCTGTCTCTCTCTCTCTCTCTCTCTCTCTCTCTCTCTCTCTCTCTCTCTCTCTCTCTCTCTCTCTCTCTCTCTCGTTGGGTTCCTCGCCTAATGTATGTGGTGTGTCTCCTTATGTATGTTCTCTCCTGATGTATATGGTAGATATTTGACCGTCTCTCCCTGGAGTGCAGGAAAACGCAGCCGAGATGTTCCCGGGGCCTTGTGTAGGGTGAGGTGGTCCCTCTGGCCCCCTGCTGCACCCGTGGGATTCCAGGGGGAGGCCCCTGTGGCAGCCGAGGGCGTTCCGGGCCCCTGTGGCAGCAGGCGTCACCTCGTCTTCCATTACTCACGGAAGAAAAAGAATTTAACGTCTCTGGTTCTCCCTGTCTTTATCCCAAATTGGGTGGACATGGAACCCTTTACCCAAGCGATCGGAGGGAGAGAGAGAGAGAGGGCCTCTGCCTCTCTCTCTCTCCCTTTGGTTTGGTAGGTCGATAATCGGCCAGTGACACGTATCGTAACGACCGCTGTTAACAGCCGGGAGATTGGCATCATCCGGGTGTGTGTGGGGGGTAGGGGGGTGCCAGCGAGTGCCCTCGTTGTGGTGTGCCTCCGTCGGCCCTTCGGCCCTCCAGTGCCGGCCTCTGTTGGTTGGATCAGTCCGGTTTGTTGGCATCAGTCTCGCGTCAGCCGTACAGGGTTTGTCTTTGGTCACGCCGCCTGTTTCGCTCTCAATGTGGCCTTCGCGTGTTGACTCCTTGTGGAGTGTATGAATATGTGTTACACATATCATACTACATATATCCACCTCAATTATATCCCCCCCCCCAGCCATACCCACTTCGTCATACTCCTCACCGCCTGGCATGTACGACTGTGTTAATAGTTTGGTTGCTACTTTACATATGGAGAGTCAGGAAGTGTACTGCTGCTTTTTAACACCGATGGTTGATACAATAGCTTTAGTTCCCTATTTAGTGATGCTAGTTATTTGCTTGCTTCCTCTGGCCGTCGTCTCAGTATGTAAGTCATGTGTGTGGCCACCACCGCGTCCCGCACTGGCAGGTGTTTACACACAGTTGTCTACACTCCATGAAAGGGAAGGGAGGGCACTATCAGGGGGAAAGCGCCAAGTCATTACGGCTATATGAAAGCTGGCACCTAGAGTTCCTCGCAAATTTCCTCGTCATTTCCTGGGTACTCTTTTCGTCCCTTTCCAGTATCCTTGTCACTCGGTGCTCCACTCTCCTCCTCATAGAGCTCCTTCTTATAGAACTCCTGCTTATAGAACTCCCAATTATAGAACTCCTCCTTATAGAACTCTTCCTTATAGAGCTTCTCCTTATAGAACTCCTCCTTATAGAACTTCTCCTTATAGAACTCCTCCTTATAGAACTTCTCCTTATAGAACTCCTCCTTATAGAACTTCTCCTTATAGAACTCTTCCTTATAGAACTCCTCCTTATAGAACTCCTCCTTATAGAACTCTTCCTTATAGAACTCCTCCTTATAGAACTCCTCCTTATAGAACTCCTCCTTATAGAACTCCTCCTTATAGAACTCCTCCTTAAAGAACTTCTCCTTATAGAGCTCCTTCTTATAGAAGTCCTCCTTATAGAACTCCTCCTTATAGAACTCCTCCTTATAGAACTCCCCCTTATAGAACTCCTCCTTTTAGAACTCCTCCTTATAGAACTCCCCCTTATAGAACTCCTCCTTATAGAACTCCTCCTTATAGAACTCCTCCTTATAGAACTCCTCCTTATAGAACTCCTCCTTATAGAACTCCTCCTTAAAGAACTTCTCCTTATAGAACTCCTTCTTATAGAACTCCTCCTTATAGAACTTCTCCTTATAGAACTCCTTATAGAACTTCTCCTTATAGAACTCCTCCTTATAGAACTCCTCCTTATAGAACTCCTCCTTATAGAACTCCTCCTTATAGAACTCCTCCTTAAAGAACTTCTCCTTATAGAACTCCTTCTTATAGAACTCCTCCTTATAGAACTCCTTATAGAACTCCTCCTTATAGAACTCCTCCTTATAGAACTCCTCCTTATAGAACTCCCCCTTATAGAACTCCTCCTTATAGAACTCCTCCTTATAGAACTTCTCCTTATAGAACTCCTCCTTATAGAACTCCCTATAGAACTCCTCCTTATAGAACTCCTCCTTATAGAACTCCTCCTTATAGAACTCCCCCTTATAGAACTCCTCCTTATAGAACTCCTCCTTATAGAAC